CAATGAATATCGGATGTGGTATGACGGATGTCGTACGTAGTACGAATTCTACATTTCAAGTACGCTGAGTTCGTTCGGGCGACTCCGAGCAACTCTCGAGAGACAAAACGAACAATAATGTGTGTGTGTGTGTACATTCATTGTTTCTTTTTCTGTCTGTTCTATCTAGAGTCCTATATATAAAGAGAAGCGACATCGAACCCCCACCACCAGATCGGATCCCTACGATCACCCCCTACGCCGCCATGTTTCGACCGCTCCAGTTTCGTAAACATAAACATACTCCAACCACCAACATTGTACTCCGTTGACTCCGTTAGCGGAGTGAGCTTTAAAGTATTTCATTACTTAGATCTACAATAGATATTTTAAGCCTTAAGCCGTAAAAAATTGACCAATTATTTAAGGCTTATATAACGCATTAAATAGTGCAAACAACGTGGTGGATGGCCACGTGTGTCAGATGTGTAAACAACTGTGGTCACAATATGGCTGCTTCACTTAGGAGGGGATATCAATCAGAATATATATCAGACTGCCAATCAGAAACTCGGATGTCAATGTCGCTTCTCTTTATATATAGGACTCTAGTTCTATCTTTTTTATCTTTTTCTCTCTCTTTCTTTCTTTGAGGAGTTGTCAAAATATGGCGAACCAATCAGAAGTGGTTGTTTCGTGTCCGGACTCTTACCAGAGGTTCTCAGTTGTAACTCGTTCGAACGTTTCGATATTTCGAGAATAGCAATTCGATATATTTCGAATGACCGTAGTTTGCGAAATTTAAATCTCATTTGAATTTAAAAAATCCCATTTGAATTAAATTAAAGTGAATCTTGTTTGAACAAAATTAACATGAATAACTCTCAAAGCTGTTGAATAGTTAACGCATCGCGTTATAACTATTATATATAAAATAACTATTATATGTCGATACCGATCAACGATCAACTTTCGTGTTTAAAAAAGACATATCTAAAAATTGCTAAAATTTGTCTTAAAAATTCAGTTTGATACATATTTCTACTGAGTAACGTAGAACAAAGGTGTAACAGTGAGCTTTTTACTTAAAATGTTTTAAAATCTGTATTATAAAAGCGATTAAACAGTATAAGGACCAAACGTGTTAATCTTCAAAATTTTCTTGTAAAATAATTCAGTTAAACTTTTATTAACAGTGATCAACGGTGATTAACTTATCAAGTAATAATATATTATTTTATCAATGAATAGAATCATTAATAAAAGTCTTAAGTTGTTTAACGTACGGACAATGTATATTACATATTTAGAAATGTTGCTTTAAGCAATTCTGCAGATTGAATTAATCATCAATGAAAGTAATCGAAACTGCCTTTAGAGGAAACTGTTGACGGAAAAGCAAGGTGATGTAGCATTGAGTACTCGCCTAGGCGTATTCCTCTCCCCCCTCCAACCGCCGTCGCGTCAAAGCCCCTGAGACTTCTGAGAGTCCCTTTGCCGTCCGGCGCGTCGCCCCCACCAACGGCGCCTACTTCGGAGCCACTGGCTCGCCAAAGAGCAACAGGCTGACGCCACTCGCCTTGGCTTGGGTTAGCTCGGGGCGAGATCCGACACCGCGCAGCGACAGAGGAAAAGAGAGAAAGAAAGAGAGAGAGAGAGAGAGAGAGAGAGAGAGAGAGAGAGAGAAAGATAGATACCGCTTTTTCCCGTCTGTCCGGAGGCTCACAACAGAGCGCAGAGTTGCCAAAGCTGCGGCATCATTAGTGCGACGCAGGTTGTTGCCAGATCGCCGCCAGCCGAGCCGAGTCCGCGAGTCGACGTAACGCAGCGACGAGACGAGGTATCAGAGCCATTCTCGTCTGGTCGGAGCAGCAGTTCTCGCACGGAGACCGGGACGGTGTGTGTGGCCGAGTCGGGTCGCGACTCTTCCAGAGGAGAATAAGCCCGTGCGTCTCCTCCTCCACCTCCTCCTCTTCCTCCTCCTTCTCCTCTTCCTATCCTTACGCTCCCCCGCATGCCGCGTCGCGTCGGGTCGCGGCTCGTGATCGCGACTTCCTCAAAGTGCTCCTCTTGATGCTCGACGACCCTCGGCCATCCGGCCGTCGCGCTTCCGCGGTGCCATAAATCCATTTTACGTATCATGTTCCTCGCCGTCGCCGTCGCCGCCGACGTCGTCGTTATACACCGTAGTGAAGTATCGAGGAACAGTGGAGCGTGAAGGAGGCGAAGACGACGACGACGACGACGACGACAACGACAACGACAACGACAACGACAACAACAGTGAATTCGTTCACTTCGCGAATGTGCATCGCGCCGTTCCGAGGGATCTCAGGAGACTTCTTGAACGACACGTACGACGACAACACATCGTGTACGACGTCGTGCGTTATCGTCGAATTGCTAGACGAACGCAGGCAGTGAGCGGTAGGCGGGATCTCTGGAAGATTGAGAGAGCGCTCCTCCCCTCTCTCTCTTTCTCTCTCCGTTTCTCTTACTCTTTTTTTTCTCAGGTCTCGTTTCCTGTGCTCTCGCACTCGTCACGTGTCCACTCAGGTAAGGCGAGTCGTAACGTAAGGAGAGGTGGAAACGACGAGAAGAGCGACTCTCGCAGTCTCGAACGGTCTGGGCTACCCGTAACATCAAGATTGACGGAGATCGGGGAAGCGATCTGTGGAGCGCGCAGTGTGGAGATTGTCGGGGCGGATCGCGGAAAACAGTGAGAGAGACTATCCCCATCGGTATCGCGGGGAACGCTACTGGTGCTCAACAGCGGCGACGGTGACGACGGCGACGGCGACGGCGACGGCGACGACAATCACGGCGTTGTGTTTTATTATCGCGTACAGGTGGAAAAGGAAATAGTGATCTTTCGTGGGAATGAGACGATCGTAGGGAAGGAAAGGGGAGACGGAGAACGGTCGTGTGCGGATGATATAGGTAACGCATATAGGTAACGCGTCGTGAAGAAGGTGATCCGCGGAGCAAAGTCGGAGCGCGGAAGCGGCGAATAGATAGGCGCAGAAAGAGCGACGAGGACGCGCTGATACGAAGAGGGAAAGGGAGAGACGAAGAGGACGTTAAGCAACAGGCAGAGGAAGAGAAGAGAGCAGCGAACGTGTGATCCAAAATGGCGCTGAATCAAGACGTGGACCAGTTGTCCAAGAGTAATCCCGTCGTCAGGGTCGACCAGAATTCCGAGTCCGATCTCCAGGCTCTCTTCGACACCGTCCTGAAGCCCGACAACAAGCGACCGCTGCAGGTGCCGCTGCGCCTGCGCAACCTGCCGGATTCCTTCTTCAATCCACCGTCCACCGGTAGCAAGAGCCCCTCGATCTCGCACTCCCGCGAGAACTCCGCGGATTCCGCGTTCGGTGCCGCCGTCCCTGCGACACCAAACGGCGGCAGCAGCGTGCCTAACGGTGGCACGAACGGCGGTGGCGGCGGCGGCGGCGGCGGTGGTAACGCCGCAGGTGCCGCAGGTACCGGTCGCCGTCGCCGCCGCGGCCGGCCTCACCGTTTCTCATCCCCGCGCTCACAGCAGCCCGGCCTCCCTCCAGCAGACGTACGCGTCGGCACAGCAAGCGCCGCAACACGCGCCGCAGCCGCACGCGCGTCACCACCATCATCAGAAGCAGCGCAGCTACGACGTCATCAGCACGGTCGACGACCTGGGCCCACTGCCGCACGGATGGGAGCAAGCGCGCACCCCCGAGGGCCAGATCTACTTCCTCAAGTAAGTCACTCTCCGCATCATGGTCGCGTCACGTCGCGTCGCGTCGCGTAGCGTAGCGTCGCGTCGCGTTGCGTCGCGTTGCGTGTGTCATCGCGAATTCGTTACGCGACTCGAGACAACCGGGCGAGAAAGAGGAAAAGGGGAGGTATACGATCTACAAAATCTTTTCTAAAGATGCATTTCCCTCATACATGTATCTCACCTTTTTTCTTCGAACTCTTAAGCCCAAGACAATGCGAGGGAATAGCGATAAGAATAACACGATTTCAATCCATCAGAAATCGGATACTCCGGAATACGCAGTTTCTGATAGGTTGAAACTCCTATCTGTGTCATTCCTATCGCTATCGCTATTCCCTCACATTGTATCTTGGGCTTTATACTCTTAAAGTCATTTTTTTTTTAAATCAACGATATATATACCTGGATTTGTCGTAATCTTAATTTTTCGAACCGTGAACGGATAACGTACAGATTGTTCACACAGAAAGTAGTGTCTGAAACCTTCGGATAGAGATCTTACAACAATAGATTCTTCCTCTAAGTACCTGAAATGTATAGGAATGGATAAAATTTTCTTGTTCTTCTGAGATTAGGAGAGTTTCATGTTGTGTGTATTGCTTAGAGGATTATTTATCGCCACCGATAATGATACCTTTTGTCGAAGTCTCATGTATTTCAATGCCGAAACTGTCTTTATCGTCGTACTGGCTTACTCATCCTCTCTCTCTTTCTCTGTCTCTCTTTGCTCGTTGCTTCGAGACCCCTGCCGCTTCTCATCACTTGCGGAGGGGAAAAGAAAGACCTCGGTCTCTCCGTTAAGCCTAAGCCCCTCTACGTTGCTGCCAACGTCCCTTGCCCTCGGAGCTGAACAGGGACGTCACAGCACTCGGTCACGCAGTATACATAGCCGGTGTGAATGCGCTAATTAGCATATTCAGGTAAATGGATGTCATTATTAATGCAGGAATTTTAAGAATTTTGAAAAAAAAATGATACGAGCGAACAGCTTGGTATACATTATAATTTGTCCCATACGGAAAGAACGGTTTTGCTGAATAATAAAAAAATTTAACTAGATACAGACTTGAAAATCATTTTGTTAAACTATCGAAATAAGTATGTATGACGCTCAAGCTGGTTGCTAGAATTTTTTGCAACATTGTTCATTATACTTAAGTTTCCTACCTAATTATTTTGATAATCCAACAAAATTATTTGTTAGATCTGTATCTAGCTAAATTTTAGATATTTCTTTTCTTTAGATATATATTTTCTATTGAACAGACGAATGGAAAGAAATTTTGAGAGCGATAACTTGTGATAAAATAGACAGCATATGCTTTCTTTTTTTTTTATTTCTTTCTCCTTGATTAAAATTTTAAATTGACTTTAACGAAAATACATTATTTACTAACTTTATACTTTTACATTTTTTAATACCACAAATCTTTTGTAACTAAAATTTTTTTAATACAAAATTAATCTGAAATGTTAACTGAAAAATTAGAAAATTCTATCATCAAAAAAGACTCTGCCATATAGATATATTTGTTCGAAATTTTCTTTCGAAGAAAAATTGGTTCGAATAATCTTTTTGCAAATATTTCGCTTCTATCTCGGAAAACTACTCGAGATTCTTTTTCTCCAAGAAAAAAATTAATTTATTAGAAAATCTGTCCTTGAAAGTAATATTGTGGATTTTAGGATTGTCTGTGTCACGTTTCTCTAACGCGTGATCGTTGCAAACGATCACGATTTCCAGGCGCTGTAGAACAGAGCCCGAGAAAGACCCTTTAGGTTCGCCTCTGAGGCGAATATAGTCTCTCGAATGCCTCTGGTGGTATACCTGGGCCTCCCACCAAGCATCTTTGCTTCCCAACCTGATCCACCTGCACAGCCGTGACTGCCGGGTCCTCACGTGTCACCTGTCGTGGGAAACTCCGTCGGGTACCTCGCTTCATCCCTTCCCTATTCCAATAATCCCCCCCTTGCTCATCCCAATACATGTCGACACACTGTTTTAAATCTTGATATTATCTTCACAGGCATCACCTTAATCTCTGAAATTAGCGAAATCCTATATACGGAACATGTTTCTATTTTTGATTGTCTAGATCAAATACGTCTTTTTATAGACTAGATACGTCTGACAGCTCTACTAAATATTCTTAAACAAGAATTTAAATAATAACATTTACATTTTTATATTTAGATTCATAGATTTACATAGGTTGTATATTTGCACATCTCTTACTTTTTTTTTTATTGTAATTACGTTTTATTTTTTAAATATTATATATTGGAAGAGTTGTATTAAGTAAAGAAACGAATATTTATCTTCGCGTATTCTCAGTTTTTGTGTTTAATATTTTAATTGTAATTTTGATACTATATAATTAGATTTTATAAGATTTTAAGACTTTTTTCCCGAATATTCTGGTTCTTTTGATTAAGAAGACGGGATTAATTTCAAATTCATCAGGAAATTCATCAGTTAAATCGTTAAGCTCACAAAATTCTAGAATATACTACAGATGTACGCTTGTTATCCGTTAGTTTAACTAATAATTTATGACTTCAAATGACGATTTAAAATTTGAAAGAACAACTTTATTAATCCTTCAATTTTCGCAAAGTTTAAAATGTTTAAACTTTTGTTTGTAATTTAATTTTAAACTTTGAACAAATTTTGAAATTTACCAAAAATATTCCTGTATGTTACTCTTCTTTTCTTAAATCTTGTCTAAACATGTCGAAGACCACCGAGAAGATAGACTGCCCTTTACCTGACCTGACCTGGTCATTCAGAAATCTTACCTGGACAACCATTTCTGTTTCGTTTGTGAATGTAGCTCGTTTTCTACCTGATATTGAAAAATTGAATAGGATGTGGACGTGATTCTTTCTAAAGAATACAACTCAACATTTTTGTAAACGACTAATGCAAGCTAATGCAGTTCCTTCAAAGAAAGAAAAAAAGAGGAGACGTAGAATTTTCTTAAAAAAAAATCCAGTCATATAAAGCGATCTATCTTTGATCTTTTTCTAAAATATTATTTTTAATTTTGATCTTTTTACCTTCTTTTATTTGCTTTTTCTTATTGCTCTGAGTTGGACCAAAGTCTAAGCGAATCTCGTTACATATAGTAATGTTATATTATTGTATGTTATTTCAGATTACGTTATAAACATCATAAAGCTTGATAATAGATATCACCATTTATAGACAACTTATCGCCATTTATAAACAACTTATCGTTGAGATATCAAATAATTTAAGGGAAAACGAAGCTAATGGATTGATTGTGTTATAATTATGCTCTGAGTTTTTGCGTATATCTTCTTATCAACATTTGCTGATATATATTATCGTATGGAAGATCAATGGGAAATGATCGAATGAATTAAATGCGCAGTGAATCATTTTTACGAAGACGTTTATTATTTTAAATACATTAAATAAAGGTATGTTTCTTTAATTTTTTTATTTAAAGAAAGTGCAAATTAACGAATCTCGTGAATGTCATGTGAATTTGTAAAGATATACCTTGTAAATTAGTATTAGGAAACGACATATTGGAGAATAGATTATTAGAAAACAAATAATTTGCATAGATAAGGAAATAAGAAGGTTCGGCGTGCATTACGTTGGAGTTCTACCGCATGTTACGCCACTAGTTTTTCCTGCACTAATTTACGCGTGAGTTTATTACGCGCAAATTGAAAGTACCTTCCTCCTGTTCCCGCGTTCATTCCCAATACGGGAAGTAGAACACAAAGGCACACGAAAGGAAGGAAGTGGCTTATCGCATTTTAATAGCTAACGATTAATTATTTATTTCATTATCGACAATCATCGCCGTGTGTATATTTCACTCTTGCTCTTATCGGGAGCCATTAAGGCTCTTTACACTGTAACCACATTAAATTATGATGTCCGAAGTCGAGAAGTCACGCGCATTTTTTTGCAATATACGTCAAAATAAATCAATTCTTTTCGTGTGATTTCATCACACGCGTTGTTTCTTTGTGTCCTCACAACACGAATCTGAAAACTCACTGAAAAGAACATAAGCGCGTCTTTTTTCTTCCTTCTTGTTAAAGTTCAGTTTTTCGAGTCTAACGCGCATTCTATTTTCTACGGAACGTCGGCGAATTTTGCGGAAACAGAATGCAGAGTTCGTTTTTTTTTTTGGTAGGCGTAATACGAGGCGCAGCGAGCGTGAGTTCGTCGGTAAAGCGCGATGCAAGGTGCAGCGAAGCGAGTTGCACGCTCGCTGCATTACGCGGTAATGACCATCGCGGGAAGACTGTCTCTTTTCGTTCTCTCTAACAATACAGCAATATTTGTCACGTAAATATCGACGCTACTGTTCGAGTATTATATACGTAATATATTTCGCGAAGTCTTCTTATATTTCTTGTGTATGCCTATTTTTTTCCTCTACGTACAATTTTTCCTTCTTTTCTCTTATTTCTTTTCAGTATATATACTTTTCGCTCATTTTAATTGATGCCTTATTTGCTTTTCTCGTAGATATATCTAAAGTTATTATTGTGACATTGCACTTTTCATATTTTAGATACCATTAACATTATAGATATCTATAATATTAATTCTAAATCCGTGATTTTGAAGCTAATCGTTTCTCGCCATTGTATACCGAAAAAGACGCGAACAGAAAGACAACACTATAAATTTTATAAACTGAATAAAAATATGCATGCGCATATTCATATTTCTGCAGGAAGTACATCTATTGCCATTATTATAACATCATTGCAAAATTATTACATAACACAGAGATATACTTCTCCTCATCTTTTTATAGGATTAATTATTATTTAACCCTCTGTAACCTGAATCTTTTTTAACATAAGTGAAATTTCACTCTCAAATAATTTGTCCGAAATATATTTAGGAAGACGGATTTCCTTCTCGTAAAATTTTTTGTTAGTAATGGGATTTTATATAATAGAGATGTTGAAAAGTAATT